CTTAGAACTGTACAGCCGCCGAAGCGTTCAGTGAAGCTGCTGCAGAACTACTCAGTGCTTGACTAAGGAACTGAATGCAGTTCTGATGTCAACTGTGAGCTGCTCCTAAAGCCAGAGACCAATAACCATATTGATTCCTGCCTGATTCCTACTAAAGCTGACCATACAACTTACAATTTATCTGCATACTTTCTGTGGTCAGATGTGAAAGGTGCAACAGATTCCTCCATCTACGCTAAACTGTGTGGATGGAGTAATCTCCACCTGGGCCAATCTGCTGCACTTTTTCCATCTGACCACAGAAAATCTGCAGATAAATTGTAAGGTGTATGGGCACCTTAAGGCGTGTTACAGCATCTTGAAAAATGGGAAGGCATTTGGGGACACCCCTTACTTTAATACAGCAAACCTTCCACACCAGTCTAAGGTGTACATTAAGGACTAAATTCTATCTGCTACATAATTCAGATTATCTAAATTAAACTAAATATTTACTCTTGGGGGGTTGTCAGATGTTAGTTGAGAGAAAAAAGTTCTCCAATAAACACCATTTAAAAGAACAGTCTTGTATTAACTGCAACACCCCAACGTCTAAAGCCAAAGCCTTTTCATTTTGGATGGAATGAGAAGTTAGAACCCCTGTCAGGTTTTTACAGGGGTGTCCTCACTGGGGAGATTCATCCTCTTTGTTCTTGTGGCTATAAGCTAGCCAGAAATGTTAAAAAAAATATTTAGTTGCTACCAGAACAGGAATAGAGGGGCAGTTTCCAAATTGGACACTGTCAACTTTTACTTCCCGTTTAGTCCACAAGACAGGACGTGAAAATAAATCTCCTCGATGGGAAGCAAACTTAAACATAAGACCCGACTGCAGGAAAATGATGGCTTTAGATACCTTAAAGAAAGCTTCCTTTTATAACCACACAGAACTAATGAGCAAAGTTTGCTTTGGCCCTGAAGCAGTTTGAATTGCTAACCAAAAGCCATTTCTTCTAACCAGATTTCTCACTGTCCCAGCAGGCAGTATGCTGGAAAAAACCTTCTTTGCCAAAATACTCAAAAAACCTTATATTCCTAAAAAAATGCTCTGCCTACCAATCTTTACCCAACAAAATGGCTTTAAAACACATGGCAAAGCATTTAACAGCAAACTAATAAGATACGGCAAACTAATAAGATACGTTTAAGTTTTAAATTGGTCCACCTCAATGACATCTTGTATTTTATGTACAGAATACAAGACAGTCTATAATTTGACGAGGGGCAGTCCTGTCGTTCATCCACCCCCTCCTCTGCCCTTGTCAATCCCAGAATGCTTTGTACTCAATAAAACACAAGCTGTTTTATCAATGGGTGTGGATGAAGGAAGGGAAGAGCGAATGCTATGCCAGCACTGTACAGGATTGGGTTAGAAATACAGTACATCTGTTATGAACACAACATTTTTAGCATCACCCGGCAGCTCTCTAGACGTAGTATACCCAACATTAGATACAACTTACCAGAACCAATGCAAGGTCAAGATAAGTTGCCTTTTTTTCTCACCCTAGAGCTGAGCTTTCAATGCAGCAAGTTAAATATCCAAATCACATTTGACCAATCAGATTTAGCTAGCCTCACTATCAAAGCTTCAGTGCAAAGCCACAGCGACTAACCTGACCTGGAAAACATTGGTAAATATTCCAAGCTAAATGGTAGAAGGGCCAACACCAAAAAGATATTAGCAACCTGATACAGGAGGCCTAGAATTCACAGAAGCACAACCAAGCAATAGCCAACATGGATTTAAGGTCCCTTTTATGGGTACGGTCTCTATTTCCTACATTGTATTTAGTACAACAGCAAGAGAGACTGAAGGAGACTGAATTTGTAGACAAAAAGAAAAAAAAAGTGTGTTTACTAACGATGCATTTCTCCCACACCAATATGCAGCGTGTTAACATGTAGCATATACGGGGGAAGGAGGGATGTGATCGCACCATCTGTCAGTCCGCGGGATTTTGCACACCTTCACTGATCAGCAGGAAGAACAGAAACTGCACAAAAGATTAAGCCAGGCAAGGACTGTTCCAAAAATAGATTCATCAAATCAGCAAGACTGATGGTGCCGTCTTCGATATAGGGATAAAGGGAAATAAATGTAACAATTATGAGAACACTGGAACCTCTTGAAGGTCACATGCCAGCTTGTTTAATATTACAGCATGAACATATAATTTAGGGTTTGTCATTACACTCAAGCCTGCAAGTTAAAACATATCTGATATTTTCTTTTTTATTAAAGCTGGGAAAAGACTTGCTGGTGATCTGATAGCAGCTATAGTAAACAGATGTGCTACTGTATAAATGACCTTGGTGAGAGTGAGGTGGTATTCGGATAAGGGTTTAAAGACAAATTAGATGAGAAGATAAGTTAAAACCAAGCAACATGCCATAGATATAGGATGCTGAAAAAGTCCACCCCGAGTAGCATTGCTGTAACATAAGGCCTTAAAATGATCATCAGTCAGGCCATACAGACACTGACAATGCCAGGCAACCATTAATACAATGAGCATGAGCAGTTCTGATGAACCTGAGCATTTGCTGCAGCATGCACACCGTCAAAGCAAAATAACCACTATGATAATTAGGCTAGGAACAATCTCATTTTCCATTGGAATCCGTTGACAAGGTGCAAAAAAAGCAGGGACGTCATTATGGGCCTAGTCACACAAATTTTGAATGGCACCCCAACACATCCATTATAAGAGGTCCACCAAAGTGGACTGTCCAGTGTGGTGAGCTGCAGCAACAAAGATACTAGAGCGCCATTATAACCTGCATTGTGATGCGTTGGTAGCACATTTAAAATCAACAGGCTGACCAACCATAGCAGATTAAAGTGTAAAATACCACAAGTTAAAAATCATGTGGTAACGCATGCACCACAGTGAATGGAAGGTGGGGGACAGAGTAAAGATGGCCATACACCATGTGAATTTCAGCTGGGACTTGAAGTGGGTGCTGCTGTATTCCGATTCAAATTGAACAGTGTATGGCCAGCTTAAAGTGACTAAATTCATTCAAGGATCCAAACTAATAACAAAAATGTATCTTATTTGTGCATCACTGTAGAGCCTCAAATCATCTCTGAATTGGTGCCGACAGTCCTTTCTTCTGGAGGGTGGCTACTTTTGTTCCCCATGGTCCCTGTGTGTTGTAAAGTAGCCACTGTTCCAAGCTTGCTCCTGTGAGACTACAATCTCATGTTTAGTTTACCAATTTATATTGAGACTGTAGTCCATCATGGGACTGAGCTTGGAGTGGTGGCTACTTTAAAACACATAGGGACCATGGGGGACAAAAGCAGCCACCCTCCAGAAGGAAGGACAGTGTAAGCACCAATTGAGATGATTTGGAGGATCTACAGCCGAGTGATACAAAGAAGATCTAGTTTGGGTACTTGAATGCATTTTTAATTCCAGCGTTTAGTGTTGCTTTAAGTGGAACTTACACCATTCTGTTTTTTTTCCATTCAACCCGTGGGTTGAACAAAAAGAAACTGAACAGATTCCTCCATTAATGCTTACACCGTCGAAAAATTTAACCCCAGCGTTTAGTGTAACTTTAAAGTGACAAATACAAGTTAACACACATGTGTCTTAATGGGCCCAAATTGGGAAGATAAGGATTGAAAGGTGGATCACACATGAAAGAAAACAGGTTCACAAATGGCCAAGCCTGAGGTGAAGTGCTACCAGGCCTTGTTATCCAGAAAAGAAAAATTGATTACTGGCATTACCAAATAATTTGGTGAAATGTACAGCTTTTGCCTCAACATTTTAGGAACTGGATTTTCTAACTACTAGAAATTGAGCCCATGAAGAAGATTTCCCAGCAGGCATGTGATTTGTACATTGCAAAACAAAGCCATTTCCTCATCCGCAGCAGTGATTACAACACATCAAGGACAATGCAGATCATGTGCATCAGAACTCAGTGGATGAGCCAAATCTGTTTTACTGTCCCCAGTTTACAACCAGCCATCAAGGAGAGCACAGGAATTAACCCAAAGGCTGACAGGACAGATGACTAGTCCCGAGCAGCCCCTCCCCCAGTCAGTCATTCTTCCCTCCGCAGTCATGTGACAACTCGCCAGCTGCTGGAATCACCCGAGTGACGTCAGCACCCCGGGCTCCCCCATGGGAAGACGGCAGACACCCGGATCGGAACGGACAGGCGTGCCGCCGGATCGGGGCGTGAAAAAAATAAAATCCCCGAACTGGTTCTGGGCTGTGGAAGCGGAAACGAAGTGTGACACAGGAGGAGACTCACACAGACAGCCAGTGAACCGAGGAGATGGAAAGATGGCAGGACGAAGCCGGTCACATGACTAAGGAAGAAGGAGCAGGCTGAGGCTGTGTGCTGGAAAACGATTGCCCATCTGCCCTACCCAGCCCATCCATAACATGTATACTACCCCTTACATTATACAGAGTTATCCATTATTAAACCTGACATGACAGCTAGATCACTCCTTATATTATACTGTAACCCTTCCATTATATACACATACTGACCCTTCCATTATACCCATTCTGTACAAAGCCATCAGTGTCATCGGAACAGACGGACGTGGAAGATGAGTACACTGTCGTCCTTTGTACGGCTGTCAGGTTATATACAGCCCGGAGACCATGTACTGCAATCTGCCCCATTACCCAGATCACCTTCGCCCATCACCAGGAGCCATCAATGGCCTCCAAGATATTGTAAAAATGAAAAAAAAAAAAAAGAAAAAATACAATGCTTCATATGTAAAAACAGGCATTACATATACTATATTATAAAAATGGTATACATATATACATGTATAGCAACACACATCCTCCATCCATCGATGACAGCAGCCTTCATTCAGCAGCCTATAATGGAGGCCCCCCGACCACCCATCACCACCATGGCTACCGTGAGGTGGACGGACTAAGAGAGGGGGGGGGAAGGTAAAAAACTCTCACCGCTGAACACCATGGCCGAAGAGGCTCCCATGACGGCGAAGAAGGCGGAGTACTCCGGTGCTGCGGCGCTGTCGGTAGACATGGTGTGCCGGGTTGTGTCCGCTGACTGAAAGGAGAAATAAACCTCCGGAGGGGAGCGAAGAGAGAGAATATAAGAGAGGCCTGGGGATTCACCGCAGCACAAAATGGCGTCCGGCCGGGTGGTCACGTGACGCGGCGCTTCCCTGTGCTTGGGCTCCGTGGCGCCCCGCCCACTGGCGGACTGAGAGGTGTTCTGTCAGAGGGCGGTGCTCAGTGCTGCCGCGGCCGTGCGTTGTTTGTGTTAGGGGGCTGGGGGCTGCACCGAGCTTTGAAAGGTTGATTTTTCCGCCTTAGTAGCTCGTTTTGGGGTGAGCGCTGGCCCGGTTTGTAGGGCGGCTGGTAGCGGCCTGGTCGTGTGTAGCAAGGTGTGTCAGGCGGGATTGGTTGGAGTGGTGGGGGTGAGGCGAGGTGCTGACATCTTTTATTAGCACTGCACATTGATAGGAATGACGGGTCAGGGAAGTCTCCAGCTAATGATAGGGACAAGGAGGTTCTACAAAAATAAAGCACCGGTTACCGTCCGGTATTCTGAGGGCCTGTTTAGAGTGACAGGAACGCGCATGTTCCATGCGTTCGCACACCGCGGTGCTACTCATTCTCAACGGCCCCCCCAACGCATTAAAGTGGAACCTCAGAGAACAACTGGTGGGTTCAGGCGTGCCTTTTATTACAGAAGAGATGGTAAAACGCGGCCGTTTCGCAAGAAAAATGCCTGCAAAAGTTCTGTCAGGATTGCGACAGATAGCTATACCGAATTCTGATGCAAGTTACGCCGTTTGTCGCACTACCCCGAAGCAGTTCCATAAAGAATCATAACACTGTGTATGAATTTTAGGGATTACATCTGATCTGCCTCGTTCGCCATCTTCTATAGCAGCGATCGGCAAGCTGTGGACCAACTACAAGTCCCATGAGGCATTGCAAGACTCTTGACAGCTATAGGCATGACTCCCAGAGGCAGATGCATGATGGAATTTGCAGTTTCAACATAGCTGGAATATGTTCAGAATTTGCCTACCCCTGTTCTAGGAAATGTACGCATGTGCAGACCAGCACTTACTATGATATATAAACTCCTGTCATATTAAAGGAGAACTATGGGGTTAGGACTTTTCCCCATAGTTCTCCTAAGGGTAACGGGAGGACACAAACTAGCGTCCTCCCGTCACCCTAAGCTCAGTATACCGCGAGCTACTGAGACGCCGCAGCTGAAACGGACCCCAACAATTATGTCTGGATCCACCCAGCTGCGTGAGTGACAGTTTGCTCTGCCTATCTAGGGGCAGAGCCAGCTGTCCCTCACGCAGCTGGGTGCATCCAGACATAATTGTTGGGGTCCGTTTCAGCTGCGGCGTCTCAGTAGCTCGCGGCATACTGAGCTTAGGGTGACGGGCGGACGCTAGTTTGTGTCCTCCCGTTACCCTTAGGAGAACTATGGGGTTAGGACTTTTCCCCATAGTTCTCCTAAGGGTAACGGGAGGACACAAACTAGCGCCCTCCCGTCACCCTAAGCTCAGTATCCCGCGAGCTACTGAGACGCCGCAGCTGAAACGGACCCCAACAATTATGTCTGGATCCACCCAGCTGCGTGAGGGACAGCTGGCTCTGCCTCTAGATAGGCAGAGACAGCTGTCACTCACGCAGCTGGGTGCATCCAGACATAATTGTTGGGGTCCGTTTCAGCTGCGGCGTCTCAGTAGCTCGCGGCATACTGAGCTTAGGGTGACGGGCGGACGCTAGTTTGTGTCCTCCCGTTACCCTTAGGAGAACTATGGGGTTAGGACTTTTCCCCATAGTTCTCCTTTAAGTCATTTTCAATATTTTGAAATCAGTAGCTTTCATTGAAGTAATCCCCACCCCGTTCAGGCACTTCCTGTTATAGGTTGACAACACTCTGTCCCTGTATCTTAATCATGATCCTCTGTTGTCATCCAGGCTTCCGATGAAGACCACAAGTGGCCATTTTAACACACATTACACAGGCATGGCCCACTGTTGTCACCATCTGGAAACCCACCCTGAGAAATGGCGTGCAGCATTTGCTTGGGTGCATATGGGCAGGAAGGGGCTGCAGGAAATCAGCAGCAATGTATTGCAGAAAATGGAGAATATAATTTGTTGTCTGTGGTACCGCCAGTCTGGGCCAACTTTTCCCAGAAAGAGACGGGACATATCTGTAAACCTTGTCCATTTACTCTTGTTCCCCCAGATGTAAGCCATAGCCATCTGCTTTCCCTCTCCGAGACATGAGTATGACTACTTGGCAGAGCCAAGCCATTCATGGATTTGTGCACACGGATACATTGCATGTCCACTTGGCCTCCAAAAAAAAGATGGCGCATACCATAATGATTCAATACGGGGCACAGTTTGTCCCATATTCTTGCATGGGGTCATGCGTTTTCATGGTGTAGATGGGCCGACTGCTAGCACCATGCAAATGCATGACGTTAATCCAGGGTGTGTGCCATTCAAAGCCACCGTAGCATTCAAAAGAGGATACTCCTGGTATCTGGAGTCTATCCATTTCCAGACCTCTGCCATGTTGCCACAGCCACACTGTGTAAGGTTGGACTCTGATGTGAAGGGGGGTGTTTGATCTGGATCAGGGACTCTGATGTGAAAAGAGGAAGACTCTGAAGGGGTTCATTCCTGTTCATTCATGAGTTTCTCAATGGGGAGAAGCACTGTGTACAGAGGCTCCTCCCCATTCAGAAACTGGTGATAGTAAATATTTTCTGAATGAATGGGAAGTCTCTGTGCTTTCCATTCATTTAGAACTGAGGCTGCTTTGTGTCCTCAATTTCTTTTTCTATTTTAAAAGGGAAATATCAGGGGGCTGTTTAGACCCCTAATATTTCCCCGAAGCCCCCCCAACAGTAAATATATATATATATACCCGGAACGCAGGCACATTAAGGCCTGCATTTCGGTCCAGTGTGATCTGCAAAAAGAGTGCTTGCAGCATTTTCGCGGATCGCACTGGACCTGAACGCAGGCACTAATGTTCCGGGTGAAGGCAATCGCACTGTGAGCGAGGGGCCTGGCTGCGGTGCCAAGGACTTCAATGCGCCGCCACGCCCCCTCCCGCCCCTGAACGCAGGTGATTATTCGTTGGTAGATCTCATTGAGCTCGTCATTTGAAAAGTAGATCTCCAGACGAAAAATTGTGGGCGCCCCTGTCCTAGATTGTTCACTCGTCCTGCCTTCTCCAAACTCTTCACCCTTTGGTGAATAACCCTGCAAAACATCATGGAGTGTCAGTACACATCTAACTATAGAATTTCTTATATGCAAAAAAATTGTGTACATTTAGCTGTAACATGCCTTACCACTTCAAGTCGCTGTCTGGCTGCGTATTTATTATCCATCCACCAATGACATGTGGGAAATAATTTTGGATACATAAAGTGCATATAGATTCAGCCACATCTATAGGATATGACAGGAAAGAAATTTGTGTGCAGTAAGAATCAAATAGTGAGATTACGTTTATTATAAAGGTTGAAGAGCATAGGGACCCTGAAATGATTTGCTATGGGGTCCCATCATGTATATTTACTTCTATGTAGCTGCATACTGTATGTAGAGAGACAGCCTGGAACCTCTCAATGTGTTTCACAGTAAAACTTTAGCCAGGCTATGAAGAATGTATTTACATATTCCTTACTAGAAGTAAAGCCCTCACTGACCTCTGTAGCTGCAGTCACTGTGGAGTAATTCATACTCAAAGTTTGCAGCAGAAGGTTTTCAATTTTACTTTCACGATTGGGTAACTGCTCCCTCCTGTCAGCAGTTATTTGGCTGCCCGTCAACCTTATAACCTAATGGAAACTAAGAGTGGCAATACATGAAGAGGAGTAAAATCAAAGTGTGCTGACCTGACTCAAACAACTTCACCACATTTCCTGTGAACTTTGAGGATCAATTGTTCCACAGGAGCTGCAATTAAAAAAGTCAGTGATGGCTTATTTTAAAACTAATTTGTTTATTAAGATTAGGTAAATATTTGAATGTCCATAGCTTGGCCTCAGTTCTATTTTTGAAGGGGGGTCATGGAACCCCACTGTGACCTCCGATAGCCTTATGTTTTAAGTAATGGTGTATTATCATACTATTATACACTCACTGGACACTTTATTAGGTACACCTGGCTAGTACTGGGTTGGAGTCCCTTTTGTCTTAAGAGCTGCCTTAATTCTTTGTGACATGGATTCAACAAGGTGCTGGAAACATTCCTTAGAGAGTTTGGTCCATACTGGCATGATAGCATCACGCAGTGGCTGCAGATTTGTCGGCAGCACATCCATGATGCGAACCTCCCGTCCCACCACATCCCAAAGGTGCTCTATTGGATTGAGATCTGGTGACTGTGGAGGCCATGGGAGTACAGTGTTGAAGAAACCTGTTTGAGAAGATGTGAGTTTTGTGACATGGTGCATTATCCTGCTGGAAGTAGCCATCAGAAGATGATGGGTACACTGTGGTCATAAAGGGATTGACATGGTCAGCAACTATAAGCTGTGGCATTTAAACAATGCTCAATTGGTACCAAGGGGCCCAACGAGTGCCAAGAAAATATCCCCCACACCATTACACCACCACCAGCCTGAACTGTTCATACACGGCAGGATGGATCCATGCTTTCTTGTTGATTATGCCAAATTCTGACCCAACCATCCGAATGTTGCAGCAGAAATAGAAACTCGTCAGACCGGCAATGTTTTTCCAATCTTCTATTGTCCAATTTTGGTGAGCTTGTGCGAATTGTAGTCTCCAGTTTCCTGTTCTTAGCTGACTGGAGTGGCACCCAGTGTGGTCTTCTGCTGCTGTAGCCCATCTGCTTTAGGGTTCAATGTGTTGTAACCAGTGGCCATGTGTGTTACTGTTGCCTCTCCATCAGCTTGAACCAGTCTGGTCATTTTCCTGTGACGTCTGCCATCAATAAGGCATTTCGTCCACACAACTGCCGCTCACTGGATATTTTCTCTTTTTCGGACCATTCTCTGTAAACCTTAGAGATGGTTGTGTATGAAAATCCCAGCAGATCAGCAGTTTCTGAAATACTCAAA